GACCCTGCCCATAATTACTAATTATATTAATCTCGTATCAGGATACGCAGATTACAGAATTCAATGGAATTATTGTGTTAATTCTGTCCTTTGGAAATTCGGACTGAGAACTGCCGCGAGAATACCTTCGAATCGTAAATTAAATAACGTTTAACCCTTTGCACTCGAGTGGTGACTCCGAGGCACCACTAAAATTTGTTATATCACCTTTTAAGATCATTTTAATATTAACAAAGTTTAAGAGTCAAAGACAAGAGTCAATTTCATATGCATAAAATGCATTTCGTCATAAAAAGTAGAAATACTATAAGTTAGAAAAATGATTTTATATTTTCAGTTAAAATAGCTTCGAGTGCAAAGGGTTAATAATGATCGATCGAATACTACGGATCGTTTGCATTTTTCGCGAAAATGTGTGCGCATAATTGAAAACGATGGAAAGATTCAAAGAAGCTACGAATCTTGATGTATCGATGCGAACTATTTAATAAAATGATTACAAAAGGAAGAAGACTTATGATTGTCTCCTGCAATCGAATCAAAGAATTTTGCATAAAGATCCGCGATCTTGCGATGTCTAGTCTTCTTAAACATTCTCGCATAATTTGTTTCCCGGATCGTGGACCTTAAAATTACGATTATCGTGCTTATATTAGCAATTTAAAAGGATCAATAGAAAATCGACTCTTTCGGAATACAAATCTATCGTAGCTCGTGTACGTCGCAATAAGAACGTAAGTTACACAAGGCTGATGATGTACAATGTAATATACGATACAAGATATAATAATAACGATAGAACATGAGCTAAATAAATAAATAAATAAATAATTATAGGCAGTCTACAATCTGTACAAGCCAACTTAGCCGGTTAAATAAAAATCGCATCGACAGGACCGAAATCTTCGAATCACCCCGAGAAAATAGTAACGTCGCTACAGTATTAACGGAGTCGATTCGCCCGAATTTGTTAGGCGACTGGATACTTACGAACGGCAGCGTACACGTTTCCTCAGTGCACCCACTATTCACCGCGTCAGACGCGTAATAGAGAGTTAACAGCCTATTAATGGCGTTCCACGTTCTTCGGGAAAGCCTTCCCTCTCTCTCTCTCTCTCTCTCTCTCTCTCTCTCTCTCTCTCTCTCGGAAAGCGTCGTAAATCGAACGCAGATTAACGACACGCCGTCCGGGAACGTCGCGACTACTTTACTCGGCATCGAACAGCGTCGATTAACAGAACTGCGTTTAAGCTTGCCGATAAACGCGAGCAAACACGGGCAAACGCGAGTGAACACGAGCAAACGCCTTGGTTTTGCGCGGTCGGTCTCGACAAAGAGGATTAGCTGAACCGGAAGATATCCGGCGCGCGGCTATATAACGGAATATTTGCGTTCTAGACTCGAAATATCGTTTCCCGGCACCCGCACCTGGATTTCGAATTTCCCTGGATTTCGAGCACCGAGCTAGACAATATATACGCACTCGCTGTCACACAAAAAGCTCGCACTCGCGTACAGTCGCCCAGAGATATCTTCTTCGATCGCGGCGATAGGGTAGAGGGCGCCAATTACTGCGCCCTCGGGAGTTCCGAAAACAACTTTAGCGATTTAATCGACATTTCTTGAGCACCGAAACGGGTGAATTTCGAAGTTTATTTCAACGATATCTTTACCATGGAACGAGTACCGAATCTTCTTCGAATGTTAGAGAAAAGAAAGCGTTCTGGAACCAGTTACTGTGTACCCATGATTCATGAAAATCGGTTAACGTGCCTCGGTTAATACTGTAAATTTCGTTTTCTGTAGAAAAGATGTAATATCGTGATTTATTATTTATAAGTTCGCATTAGAGATAACCCTTTTGACAGGGCGCCTCGTAATTATATTAAAATATAGGAAGGGGTGATTCCTGAGGTCATTCGAAGCAACTCTTTCCTTTACAAAAATTTTCTGCGAGGCGTCGTTAACGAGTTATCAATGAAAAACAGTGACCAATGAGAGGGGAGCTCGCCTAGCGCTACGCGGCCGAGCCAATCAGCGGAACAGCGCCTCGTCTGCTCGCGCCGCCTCGCGCCAGCCGAGCTCGCCTCTCATTGGCCAGTGTTTTTCGTTAATAACTCGTAAACGGAGCCGCGGATCGCATTTTCGCTAAGGAAAAAGTTACTTCGAATGGCCTCGAGAAGCCCAATATCCGATTGCGAGACATTTTTAGGCCACCCTGTATTATCGAGTCGGTGTTCGGTGGCGGTATGACGGAAAATACACGGATTTCGTCGAGAGAGATCCGCACTAACAACTCGGGGAAACTTAATATGATTTCGAACGAAAATGTTGAGCGACTCGGTGCATCCGAAAGTTAACGGAATTACGCGGCACGCTATCTTTTCGTCGCTGCGTTGTAGCTCTCAGCGACGCCGGAGGACACGGATCTAAAACTAGGATGATGCTAACGTTCCGGAGAATTCCTATAATCGCGGAGAGGAGGATTGTTTAGTCTCGTTTGATGCTTTCGCGTAGCCATTCGGGCCGACGGGTGCTCCGCTCCCGTTCAGATCAAAGGCTTCGCCCCGGCCGTTTCACCTGTTATCCGTTATGAACGCGCGCCCGGTTCCGTTCTCTGGCCCGTTAATGCGATTTCTCCTTCTTTCCGGCGGAATCCGCGGCCTCTCTCTTGTTTCTTTGACCGGTCGTTGGATATCAAATTCGCCGAGTGTCCAGCAGCCGGGTTTATTAGTTTCGATTGTCACGGAGTCGGCGATGGTTCTTCCGGCGACAACGATGCGTCCCGTTAACAATTACGGCGGAAACGTAGTGATACAGGGTGTCCCAAAAATGTCTCGCAATCCGGAAATGGCGGGATCCTCGGATCATTCGAAGCAGCTTCTCTCTTTACAAAAATGTTCTCCGAGGTATCGCCAACGAGTTATTAACGAAAAACAGTGACCAATAAGAATCGAGTACGGCTGACGCGAGGCGGCCCAGCCAACCAGTGCCCGAAGCCCGGTTCTGCTCATTGGCTCGGTCGCCTCGCGCCAGCCGAGCTCGTCTCTCATTGGTCACTGTTTTTCGTTAATAACTCGTTAACGGTGCCTCGGAGAACATTTTTGTAAAGGAAAAAGTTACTTCGAATGACCCGAGGAACCCGCCACTTTCGGATTGCGAGACATTTTTGGGACACCTGTAATAGTGCTAATGTAATATAGTGCTAATGTCGCGTCACCCTAAATCGCGCATAATCGTCGGAACGAAATCCGAAGATCACCGATCCGATGCTGGAAACTCGGCAGATTAAAATTTTTAATCGAACGATGTCTGACTCGGATTCCATTCGCTCGGTTTTTGCATTATTCGTCGCGGAAGCACGATTTCGCATCGGCGTCCCGTCGATTTCGTAATTGAAACACGTTCTACGATACGATCCGGATGGAAAGATGAAGTAATCGAGCGTGAATCGTCAGCGATAGCCGACGACGATCGATTCGCGAGATTCGGCGAAATTTCTTGAAGCAGCCACGGCAACGGCGACCTAAATGGACATAGCGCGCGGGGAACGCGGGGAAGGGGGACAAACTGTTTTCGATACAGCTGAAAACATATTTGAACAGCCGACGCGTGTATCATTTCGCCGGCAGTCAACAGAAATGCATAGCATTAATGAACAAACGCGCCGGTTAATAACAGTTATCACTGCCATTCGGATATTACGTCGCTCACCAGATACACATCGGTGCCGCGATTGCCTAAGCATTCATGCTAACAAACCGAAACTACAATATCGACATAAACGCGGGGACATTCGGAGCTATGATTGTCGGAATAGCTAATTGCAATAAGAGGAGCCATTACCGTCTGTTTTACGATCACGAGTAAACCGTTCCTAGCTCGTCTAAGCTAATTAACGCGCGTTCTTTTCATCGCGCGGATCCAAATTACGGACCCGCGATATTTATTTGTCTCCGTTTTGTCGAAGTAGAACATAATTATATAAAATGTTTAGTATATAATTACTAAATAGATTATAATGTTTGCGCGGAGATATAATCGTCGCATATTTAATCATTACATTATTAATCATATATATATATTAATTATATAATATAATGTAGATATATTATATATTAATATATAACAACGATTATATAATGATTATACAATAATAAAACATATAATAACGACAAGTACGCGGGAAATAAAGTTTCGCTCGAAAAGAATTAAATAACTACTACATTTGTTAATTCAGTTCTCAATTAATACCAACCGAGTGCAACGAATAAAGAAGTTAATCATTTTTTCTTTAAATCTCCATGATTTCGCTTGCAATCTGTCCGGACGGCGACGAGTAAATATACACATATATATGTATATACAACGACAATATAATTACATAAATTTTATTGTGCACACGTGTATACGCGAGTTAACAACACGCGAACAACGTGTATTTGTTGTTCCGTGTCGGAACGCTTAATTGCGGCTACGTAAACGGGTAAATTGCGATCCGTTGTCGCTCGAAAGACGGAATTTTAATAATATCAATTATGTTAAACGCGCACCGGCAATTGTAACCGGCGCCGCCGGAGGAATTGCCATAATAGCCGCGGGGGTAAATCGGATGCGCGATTCTGTCGCATAAATTCTAATGCCATTGTTTCCTTAACGGCATAAGTAAAGCGGTATCGATTTAGCAATATAACGAGCAGGTTGATCCGATTCATTGTTCTATTCATTACTCGATGCTAATAGGATTGCAAATGCGTTATATATTAACGACGGCAAGCCGCGTGTAATCCGTGTACAAGTAAGAATATTATTCTATCACAGTTTATAGACCCTAGTTTCGAGAATCTGGCGTTGATCGCGTTTGACGGGAAGATGGCTCGGCTCGACCGTTTCGATCGCGTCGCTTCGTTTAAACGATCGACGGATAAATATTCTTCCGGGCGGTCACCGTGACGACTTTTCGTTCGAATTATCAACTGTCGTCCGTTTCGTTGTTGCAGATCGAACATAGAGTACACGAAGAACATGACGACGTCGTATCTGAAGATAACGGACGTTAAGATCGAGGACGAGGGGCTGTACAAGTGCGAAGCTACGTATCTGACCGTGAACCGGAAGTGCAACAACGTTCATCATATTATGCTGAACGTCACCGGTAAGTTCCCTCGATTTTTCGGAGACTAAACGACAGCTTTTTCTTCGTTTATCGGATTTCAATCGAATTCGAACGTGTATTTTTAACGCGAAAACATTTTCCTGCTTTCTCTATTTTTCACGTTAGAGTCTAAAATAACGGATACGCGCGAAGATCTGCGGCGAAATGGCAACAAATTATGTGCAACGAAGACTGCGCGAACTAAATGATATATATATAATAATATAATAACTAAATGATATATGTAATAGAACAATTCGATGGAAGAATGTTATTCGAAACTCTTTCGAAGTGACCAACGTTTCGCGTTTCTGATTCCCTGATAAACGCATCAAATCCGCGATCTATAAATGATCTATACAAATCGCGAGTCGCAACGCATATTTCAGAAACTAGCCAGTTTCCCGGAAACAACGAATGTAATCGCGCTAAGATGGAAACGCGTAGATTCGAGGCGATCCTCGGTCGAACGGCATCGGCATAATTCGGCGGTAAGAGCGATTTTCATGCGTCGCGACTCGAAGCAGCGTGCAATTTAATTAATCGATTAAACACCGGCGATCTCTGACGGTAAGATATGCGCGGAATAACTCGCATTAGACGTATCGTACTTGTACGATCCGTGTAATCTGGGTAATCCCAGTAATTCGACAAACGAGAAAGCCGCAGTACTAATCCGAAGTGGTAGCAGGTAAACCACTGAACCGGTTATCTTGACACACGCAACATGTCATACTATTAAAGTGCGGTTGAATTTGCCTACATGAAAGGGATGCCAATTACTTTGAAATTTTAGCCGGAAACCGAGATTTCGCCGACTGGCATCGACGCAGGAGCGAGCCTAACCGTGGCATAAGTATTTGCGGATGCGCGTTTGAACGTCGATCGGCATTCGCGCATTTCGAAACGTTCAATTTTAATGAACCCGACAACCTGCAGACGACGAATCGATAAAACGGAGCTCTGCCCCCGCGGATCGCTGTAATTAACGAACGAGTTTTGGGCTTTCGCGCAAAAATTGGCCCTTTGTCGCGCTCGAGTGAACATCGTTCGGAGATTATTAGATATTTATTATTGTTCTCCCCGTAAGAGTGGAACAACAACGAATAACCGTATATTTAGAAAACGGAGCGCGGAGCCTCGTTATATGCGCCTACAATTAGTGCAAGGTACAAGGAGGTGGACGTAATGAGCGAAGTCCGCGATAATGACCTCGGTGGAAAGAGCTCGTTCGAAAATGACAGACAATGACTGCAAGTTGTATTCGTACTCGCAGTGAACAATACACTCTGTAAAGTTCTTCGTCCGCCAACGGTCCGCCTTCGACAAATGATTCAATTAAACGCAGAGTCTCGATGTATCGCGCACCGGTCGCTCTCCTCGCGGCAACAGAAAATCGCGGAAATTTCTCCGAAAAATATGCGCGCCGGCGCGCCGGGCTTTCGCAAATCGGATTAAAACTCGAAACTGACCGCAAAGAGCGGCGGGTCCCGCTCCGACGACGCGGTATTATAAATCACGGCGGTTCCGCTAACGGATTTGAATTATTTTCGAATTTGAGAATTCGCCCCGGCGCAAATGAGAGATCGGTGGTTCTCGGCGAGCGGATAGAACGGCGAACGCGATCGTGCTTTCTTGCCGCGGAAAACGGGATGTGCCAAGAATACCGGGGCTCCTGCGCGAAAGCCCCTCTTTCCCGTTAATAATGTTGGAAACTACCCAACGTACCATCGCGATCATCATATTCTTACTCGCACAATAACCGCTGGACTGTACTAATAGCGGGATACGTTCTGAACCGCCCTACAAGATCCTGCTGGAACAGGGCTCATTGAAACTTTATTGTAATTGTAACGGCCGCCAAAGAATACCTTGCGAAGCCCGAACGCGAAGACGACAGTCGTTTCGGGCTGGAAATGGAACTGCAGATTAGAATCGATCTTCTTGATTGGAACGATTCTCTCCGCCTTTGCCGCGCTTTCAGCCGGAGTCGGCCAGTAATCGATTATTGCGTGCGATTACTTTCGTAATCGGTATACGAAAAGTAATCGTGTAATCGTTGATCGATTAATCGGTAATCACGATTATATGTTATACATGATTACACTTTATTTATTTACTTGTTATACAAATCGATCGTTTTCCGAAACAATTCTTGTAGAAATCAATTCGGACAACAAATGTTTGATAATATATAAATACATCAATGTGCGACAAATAAGTCGAATAAATTCGGACGAATTTTTATTCGACTAAATCTGATCGGGTTTAATTGTTATCTGGACAAGTATTTCGTTCGACGATGTCGAATAAAATCGTGTTACGTGGCTTTCGAATTCCCTTCGAATCGTGTCACGTGGCCTCTGAATTGCCTTCGAATAGTGTCAACTGGCCTCTGAATTGTCTTCGAATAGTGTCAACTGGCCTTTGAATTGCCTTCGAATAGTGTCAACTGGCATCTGAATTGCCTTCGAATCGTAGCAAGTGGTATCCGAATTTCCTCCGAATTGCCTTTGAATTGCCTTCGAATTATCTTCGAATTGCCTTCGAATCGTTTCATGTTGCCTCCGAATTGTCTTCGAACCATCTTCGAATCGTGCCATGTGGCCTTCGAATTGTCTTCGAATTGCCTTCGAATCGTATCACGCGGCCTCCGAATTGCCTTCGAATCGTGTCACGCGGCCTCCGAATTGCCTTCGAATCGTGGCAAAAAATTCGAAATAAAAAAGCCCGAAGAATCGCGATTTAGTATTCTCGGATCTGCCGGTTTCAATTCCGACCTCCAAACATTTCCGGGAGAAATTACTATCATATCTGCGGCGCAGAAATTTGTAACGACAAACCGGCCGACGCAGTTGGGCGACAACATTAAAGACAACACGTTTCTCTCTTACGTACGTGCTTCATACAGAGACTCGCTCGTCGTTCTCTAGCCCAGGCGACACAGCTGCGGGCGTTTCAAGTTCCCATTTCTTTTTATAACACGAGGCGTCTTTAGCGCTCGTAAATTGTTCCAGCGAAGTCTTGATACATTTACACGGCGACGTCCGCAACGTAAACGCGAATCCATTTTATAAAGGCCGTCTTTCGCTTTGTTTATCCGGAATTGCATTTGCTCGGCGGCTCGCGGCAACTGCATAATATTTTACCATAACCGGCGCAGCAGTCGTCCGGCGTATTACGTTCCATCAAAATTCGCAGTCCAGTTATCGGTTGCGAAATCTAATTAACGTTTCGTTACAGCTCGTCGCTTTTTTTTCCAATTACATCGGTCTCCGCAGCGCGCGCGCGCGCGCTCGCACCGACGGCTAAAATTCTCCGCGTTTCGCAATTTCTGCATCGCCGTCCCGCGCCGCGTCTGACATAAGGTTACACGTAAGAAGCCACGGAGGAACCGAATACCGTCGGAGATCGCAAGAAATTTTCACATATTGGATTTCATAAGATGTTTAAAACCAAAGTGGAAAGCCGCGTTCGATTTTATTTTATGAAAGTTTCGGCTTCCGTGTGTATGCAGCCCCGCGGCCGGAAAACGTATGGCGGAACTTTTACATCAACCTAATGCCTGTTCGGAAGTTTTCTATATCTCGTTCCATAGAAACGCGTAGACGTAGGAACTCCCGGCGATTTCCAGCGGGCGGAATGAAATTTGAAAACTTGAAACTCATTTCGCGCATACGCGCCGCGGCGTTTCTTTCACCTGCTGTCACGTTTCACCTTCAACGTTGTTCGTTCGGCGCGCTTGTAAGATCCCGTGATAAATGATTTCTTCCGCGGGAAAGGGGGGGGGGGGACGCGATCCCAAGATCTCGCGGTATTTCCATTTTCCTGTCGGAGATATTTCGTGTTGCACGGCTACGCGGAATTTGTCGAATTGACCGGGACGATTCAACGGAACGGGATGATTTATTCGAAGCGAAAACCGAAGCTGTTCTCTCTCGCTCGTCTCGCTGTTCTTTTTTCTTTTTTTTTTAAACTTGATCTACCACTGGAATAAATAAATCGATTTTTATGTCACCTAATTTCGTCGGCATCGGGAATCCAGGAAATAAAAAGGACGGGAGAGGGAGAGGGAAACGAATTTTACAAGCGGTTTTATGGCTTTTTGAGAAACACTGTTATCATAAAATAACGGTATGACTCGGCATAATAAGCGGAGAGCGTTTTCCAATTTACTGACAGCCATTGAAATATAACGGGGTTCGGATACGGAAGAGAGCAAGTAATAATAACTCAGCTGAAAACCGAGCACGTCAAATTTATTCGCCATTAGCATCCGCGAGAATCGGAGCCTCTCTAGACTGCAACACTTGCAGTATTTTAATGACGGCGATTCGCATTGTCCGTACATATTTTATGCTTTAAACGATGCCGAAAGAGACCGCGATCAAACGTCGGTCGTATCGAACGTTTCGAACGTCGCGCGTTAGACCGCGAATTTTTATGCCAAATTAAAGTTATACCGATCGCAACGCGCGATAACTGCGCAGACATTTATTTCTTGCCAGAAAATAGTTTCAGCGAATTAGAAATAGTGCGGTAGGATTTCTCAATTTCCTAAATGTTGTTACCGTGTCCGCGATTCGATCGTTTTTTGCGACGAATCCATCGAATCCGCGGTCTAGACGTCGTTAAAAATATTTCGAGTCCCCGGAGAACGCAGATTTTCGCCAAAAATTGAAGGAGATCGACGTCGACGTCGATTCCTCGCTGAAACGATTCATCGTTATTTATTCACCGTCATATTTATCGTAGAACCAGCGAGAGGAACGAAATTCTCCGATATTTTTTAAGACGTTTCGATCTCCAACAATTTCCAGGAAAAACGTGTCCTCAGTTCCTCGTCTTCTGTGTAATGCAAAAACAGTTAAACGAAAAAGTTAACAAATGTTGGCGAAAGCAGAAAGTTCGAGCAACGAAATGAATCCAGATTTATCGTTATACCATCCCCTTTTACGAAATTATGCCACCGTTAACCCTTCGCAGTCGAAGCTATTCGA